AAGTAAATGACTTAAGTTGTTCGTGGTTATGGGTATATTGTGTTTATATTTCAAGTTTATGGGAATACTTTATGTTCGGGCAACATGAATCGCGATAATAACTTAAAATTACATCGCTTTATAATGTACGTGACTTCGAGTAAGTTATCAAAGTTGGACGTTCTATTTGAAATGTACATTTTTTTTAAATATGAAGATTAAATTGTCCTTTATAAAAAATAATGCATTTAAATGCTAGATTAAATAGTTGGGGTTGAGGAGTAATTAAGGATGATGGCCATGCACTTTAAAATAATTAAATAAAATAAATATATTTAATATAACTTGATTTCTTCGTGTAAATTAAAATATTAGTCATTCATAATGTATAATTATTTAACATTTAATAATAAAAAATAAATAATTTATTACATTCTGCAATTTCATCAATACAATTTACCTCAGTGGTAAATTGGGTGAAAACATTATCGTTAATGTTAATTATTACTATAATAATTTGTTATACATGCTATATTATATATTTTAACTGTATTCTGGCAAAATAAAATAATTATTACTGTATAATCCGCGTTCTTTGTTTATCTATTAATGTAACTATCACTATACGAGTATGTCAGTATGATAATTAATGTATAATATTGCGATACTTAGAGTAGCTACGCTTAGAGAAAAATAGTTGCTACAATCAGTGTTTTCATAATATAGTAGATCTCAGTGTGATTCTCATGATTTTCTTATGGAGTGAGTTGAAGTTATTTCTTATATACCACGTTGATGTGAATATGTGTAAGGTCCATAAAATATATCCATAATAAATTAATAATGAAATTCAAAGGGGAATCTGTCCTCAAAATCCTTATCAGTGAAAACGTGATCACGATAAATGCATAACTTAATACTTTAATAATACTATATATTGTTGGTAGTGAAATATGACAATGAATATTAACAAAGTATGTTGAATTTAGATCGTGTTCTTGGTTCTCAGTTCTACTCGATACAAGTATTTTTCACGTCGAGAAATATTTAGACACACTCATTCACAAGTGTTTCAGACATATAAATAACACAAAGGCCGTCTAACATAATATATTGACACGTCCACTCAAATACTACAGTGTGCTACACAATTGATTGGCTTTTAAAAAGGTGTATAATATTATAGTCTAATCTTGTGTCATGGGAATTTTTTCTACTAACATAAACTTTGCTAACACTTCAGATCGTGCTGCAATGATGTTATAAATATTTAAAGCATAATAATAAATAAACCTAGTCAGACTGGTCCAGATGAGAATGACTAGTTGATTTTTAAATATGTTCTGGTTATCACTCGAGATACTAGATAAATTTAATTCATATATATATATTTTTTTTTTTTTAATAATTAAACACTTAATTTCGACACATACATACATACATACATACAAACATACATTTATAGACATCATATGAGAACTATTTATTATTAACAGTATATTTTTCTTTAAATATATATTTATTTTTAAAATGTTCAAATTAATTTAATTATACGGGAAGTTCTCGATTTTTATTAGTATTAATATTTATAATTCAGTTATATTTGCAATCCACTCCACTAATACACTTATATTTCATTGCTCTCTAAAAAAAATTGTATTGTTTAAGTTGATTATCTAAAAATATTTTAAACAATTTTTTGAGTTAAATTTTTTTTTTTTATAGCTTATATTTATGCATTTACATTAGTTATAGTTTATTTATTTTGATTAAATACAAATATAAAAAATCAAAGTTTACGCTTAAATATTTTGATGATCCAATTTTGACAATAATGAGCAGGAGCGTACCCAGGAATTTTTTATGGGGAAAGTCCAAATTTTTTATTTTCTCTGATAATGAGAAATTAAAATACACTATATACTGTTATTATACTATTTACTATTAAATCGTTGAGTACCTATGTAGAAATTTCAATGGAGAGTTCGGACCCGAACCCACCCTTGGGTACGCCCTTGATAATGAGGTTTTAGATTTTCCTTAAATATTTAATTAAGTTATAGAGATTGCTACATGGTAACGTAATAATAATAATAACTAAATAATAACTAAAGTAATAGCTAATAATAATAACTAAAGTATTAGGTAGGTATGTGATTGTTTTTTGTATTATTATGTAAAATAAATTGTTGTTATATTTGAAAAATGAAATCTAGGAGATCTACTAAAGAACTCTCCTCGAGAAGACTTTCCGTTAATTCAAGGACGTATTTGAGTTAAGGTCATGGGGGGGGGGGGGGCGAAACTAATTTTTCTTTAATAAAAACCTAAAAATAATTTACAGCTTATTACAGAGGCATACCTAAGGGGGTCCGGACCCCCCAATTGAAATTTCTATAAACTCAATAGTTTAATAGTAAATAGTAAATAGTGTATTTTAATTTCCCATTATTTTCAATATACAAAGTTTATAGATTATAAAATATACCAATTATGTATAAACCATATTTAATTTATACTGCTTCTTTAATATTATTTATTATTGTTAATTAAATAATGTATTTTTTTATAAAATTTTACTACCAAATAAAAATTGATTTCAAATGATAGTACCTACTTATTATAGTAAACCTTCGTGCAGAATATGTGTGATGTGTGTATAACTATTGTGACTATTACTATAGTTATTAACAGTAATTTTTTGATATTGAATTAAACTATAATTATAATTAGAGAACAGATAAAATAAAAATGTTGGACCCCCCCTCTAAAAAATGTTTGGGTACGCCACTGGTTCATTATCTACAGCTCATGTTCCTGTTCCTCATTTGAGTGTATAAATAAAAATATACTTACTAAATTGAATTTAATATTTATTTAATAAACATATTTAAAACCTACAGCATATAAAATAAGTATTAATAATAACAACACAATTATTCCTTATTTTGAAATTGTACTTTCAGTCTGAACCTGTATAAAATAAACAACAAATAATCATAGTGTTAATAGTACCTATTAATTATTTTTTAAAAACTTTAAAAAACAATTAAGATAGGTAACTTAATTTAACAAATATCGAAGTAGAAAACATAAGGTTGGTAAGTAGTCAGATAATAAATTCCAAATTTCTTTTTTTCATTTTGACAAATTTGTTGATTGTTTTATTAATGGATACAATAATATTTTTAAGCACATGCAGCAAAGCCAAACCTGTTAGCCTATGCTGGAATGTTCTTGATCTTAACCATATTTTCAATTTACAAAAATATATTTTTGGTCAATATTTATAAGTTAAAGAATATGGAAACAGATATTGTCTGTTATTATGATTATTATTTGGTTTAGGGGTTTCTAGCTCTATAAAATACACAAATATGCATGCATTTGTGCACAAAAAATGACTAAATACCTATGCACAACAAAAAGTAGGTATCAGATATTATGTTGTAAATAAAAAAATAGGCGAGTAAAATTATTAAGGACTTTTATAGTTCTAATAAATAAAAAAATATACAATATGCATAAATGCATCAAAAAAATGACTAACTAGTAAATATGTGGTAAAAAAAGTGTTACTTTAAATTACTTTATATTATCTGATAAATACCTCGTTTATGGTTGTAAATGTCTATAATCGTAGCAATATCTGTGGAAGATAATACCACTATTCGTTCTACAACCAAAAATGTTATGATTGAAGATAAACAAAAATTGATACCCGTGATCAAATTGACAAATTATTGAAGTTATTATTATATTATAATGATAGACTAGTCATTTATATTCTTAATTATATATACATTAAATTTTTGAAATATATCAATATTATATTCAAAAAAAATACGAACCCTGGGGGCGAATGCCCCCTTCGCCCCCCTTCAAATACGCCCTTGCGTTAATTGCTGACAATTATATTCAAACAGATTTAAGTTAAATCTACACAATATTTCTGAAATACATGTACATAGGTGTTTGATACTAGTCGACTCAATGGTGTGTCAGACAACACTGCGCTGTGAACAACAAACATTTAAACACGTTTTAAATGGAAATAATCCGTTTCCAGAAATTACTAACCGTTCCGACTCCTAATATTTTTTTTCTTCACCGAGCTCGCACCACGTCCGTGGCTTTGGATTAATAAATATACAAAACATCAAAAATATTTCAGTTATTCACGGACAAATACATTTTAACTTGTTACACCTTATAGACATTTTTGCCTAATTAAAATATTTATAAAATTAGGTAATTGTATTATCAGTAGTTTTAAAAATAAATGTTAATGATAATCCTTTAAAAATATTTTCTTTTTCACGTTTATAGTCTCTTATTACATTTTTTATAAAAAACGGATTTCCTATACTTATACATATGTTTATTACCTTCGATTCGAACTATTAACATAATGTAGCAGCTAGAAAATACTCGGTGAAACCATTTGTAAATATATATATATATTAATTCAGTTCTGATATTGCATTTTATTCGAAATTTTTTTTTCGTAATATAACACTATTTTAAAATAATTATTTGTTAAGAAAGGGCCGCCGGAATAAATTAAGAAATTAATTTTTAAATAAATACTAAATATTATACTTTTCGTGTTTATTTAAAAAAAAAAAAAAAAAACGTATCATACAAATTATGAACTATTTAATTAGGCGTGATGTGCGTAATATAATGTTGTTAATTTTCAAATAAAAACTTTTGTTCAGCAATATACGGCATACAGTATATGAAAACATATACGCATTTGTGTCTAACATATTTAGAATTATTATTTTTCAGCTTTTCGAATAATCCACGTGTGACGGCAGCGGCGGCGGCGACAACGTAGAAACACAACATTAAAGCGCATAAGAACATTTTGGTTACCAATGGATTCGAAAAGAGCAGGTGGTTGTCGTTAGGCACGCCGTCCGCCAGGCAGCGCGGTGTACGACGCCCAGGGGAAGAAAGGAACCAGTCCACGGGCCCGACGAGAGCAGTACCGTCTGTTTTCGCATGTTTTCGACGGTTTCCGGACACTTTTCCAGCGATTTTTCACCACGAACGAGCTAAAATCCGTCCGGAGATCGATCCCGTCGAAAACCAGACCGAAATCCGATGAAAACATCCGCCGATCGGTGTAGCGTCCTTTGCTCCATCCTGCGGCGTACGAATACGGCATCGGTATTTTTCATGGAAGTCCGACCGTCGGCCAGTTCCAAATAATCCGTCGCGTCGCGAGCTTCGTGCCGTCGTCCGAGCCGCATTTACATTTCATTATTGATAAGTATATTATATTAGTAATAGAATAAAATATAAATAATTATTTTTTTTCCGCGACCGACTCCGTGTGTGGTGTGCGCGTTCGCGCGTGTGTGTTTACTCGTGTTTACCGTAAAATTAATATTTCCGTTCCGTCGTCGATCGATTGTGTCTATTTTAATTATTCATATACGGAATGAAATAAGTGCGCGCGAGAGACGGTCATCATGACGTGCTGCGTCGAGTTTGGTTAAATATCATCGGATTATTATTTTTTTTTTTTTATACTTATTAATATTAATTATTTTTCTCGTATTGGTGCGCCGATTACGACGTTATTTGACTAAGTAATACGACGAATCATGAAGAGAAGAAACCCATGTCGGATTTTTGTCAGTACGTGCATTTTGTTAGCGTTCTGGACGCTAGTCGCGAGACCCGATGGAGCGTCAGGTAACTTATAATAAATCATAATAATCGATATTAATCATAGGAAAATTTATTCTTACTCTCGTTCTTTTCATATCATGACAATTCGCACACTGAATGTTAACGCGTGCAATGCGATTGATAAATCGTTAAGACATATTACAAGAACCACTACCTGGTCGATAAGGCTCTATTGTCATCGATCGTCCGTAGGAATAGTGGTGTATAATATCGGACCTTTATAATGTTCGATTTTGATTTATTATGTCATTTATTTTTATTTTCTGACTTACCTACATAATAATAAAAATTCTAAAATTTAAAGGAGCAACATTTTATGTATACAGTCATTTGGAAAATAAATATTTTACTATAGAAATATGTAGAAAATAAATTTTTATTTTTTGAGTGTTTTCGCATTGATGCCGCAATGTGCGATAGTTCTGGAACGGTTATTGTTGTCGAACGCGTTGTGCAACCCGGCGACTTATGACCTTAGAGATTTAAACGCTGGGGCTTCGATATTGAAGTTTTCGGCAGAGGGTTTCTCCAAAAAATACGTCGGAACCTTAAGAACTTTGCGAAACACCGACTTTTAAACGGCCTATCAGGCCGAAATTTTGATTGCGCCGTTATCTGCCTCGTAAACCGTATCGCGGACGTCGTCGTCGTTTATTAGCGTAGCAATATGTGTCGCGGGACGTTGTAAGCAATAACGACCGTTAAAGACGATGAAACAATAAATCTATGTTAAATGTGACCCAAAGCGATGATGATTATTCGCCGTCGATCAACAAGTCGCTTGTGTGACATCAGCCTCGGCGAGTGCATGTGCATGTGTGTGTGCGCGCGCGCGTGTGCCCGTATACCTATACTCCCGTGCCTTGTCGGCACAATGCGGATCGACTAGCAGACGTGTGCACCTTTAATCACACAGCTGGACCACATTGTAACCGAAAATAATATAATACTCTCGCGTCTCTCTCAGGTGTTCCCAACGTCGGACCGTCCGTTGCCGTCGTATAAGCGTTCTCGTATCATTATGACGGAGCGCGCGATCGACGGCATGCCGCAATATCGTTCTCAGTTAATTTCGTCTACGGCTGTGTTGCCTATGCGATTAACGGACGGACGACGTGTTGATGATGATATGCACACGATCAACCATGACCGTGCGGCGTTGTAACCGGAACATTGGCAATAATATTGCTTATAATATTGAATTTGGTTTATTGACTTTGAATTAGTGCGCGCGGTGAATTGCACGCCACACCAAACACACGCACAGTCCGTGTCGTCCGAATAAGTACGTTGTTTGTTATCGTGCGTGTCGGTTAAGAGTTAATTTTCCGGATCCGTAAGCAGTGCACATTTTGTGCAAAACACATACAGATGCGATCGCATGTGCTGAGCATTAAAAGTTCTCTCGCCGACGGTATATCGTATCAGTTTCAGACATCCGCGGAGGATTTTGGCGTGTACAGGCATTAGGGCGGACTATTACGCGATTATATCGTTTCTGAAAACATATCTTGATTTCATTGAATGAAAAGATCGGTTTGAACTTCAATTGTTGAGTTCTAATAAAATGCGAATCACCGTGTTTTCGAACACAGGGAGTTTCATAAATTCTAATTCGTTCTAAACTCGTATCAGCATTATCGTTATTAAAATGTGGACTCGCAAGAGTGTAGAAAAACACGTCGATATTATTTCGATTCCAGCTAATTTTCATCAGAGCCACTTACTGTTTTTGCGTGTTCTCGGTACGATATTACTACAATGCGTATATTATGAACATACTGCGTTTCAACGTATAGTATTATAAAATTATAACATGCGCGTGTCGATTTGCGCCCGCATTTGCGTTCTGCTACGGCAAGTCGTAACGGTTTTTTCCTCGTCCCTCTCTCCCACGGGTGCACCTCTCCCCCAGCAGTGCTTTGGGCATCCCTGTGCGTTCGCCGCTCGGGGGTCGGGTGAATATTGTCGTCACGGTCGGTCGGGACGCCCGAAAACCCTCACGCGCCGCGTACACACAAAAACAACCCCTACCCACTGCTACCGCCGCCGTCTTCGTCGCCCATCCACCGGAACATCTGCGCGACTATGACGGGTTCTCTCTCTCTCTCTCTCTCTCTCTCTCTCTCTCTCTCTTGCTCTCTCTCTTTCTCTTTTCCCGAATTGTACCCTCGTAACTCTAATACTATTCGTCGCTCTAACCTCACCGTTTTTCATTTCTCCGTCCGGTATGTCTCGTCTGCAGCTGTTTATGTATAATATTATATTATATTATGTATACAGTGAATTTTTCTGGCGTCCGCCTAACACGCGTTCGTCGCCAAACAAGTGGCTTCCCGTAGAGCGTCGCAAAAACAACGAACATTTAACGTACAGAGAGAGAGAGAGATGGACCGGTGGAGCGGAGCAAGTCGGCGATTTCAAGGCTTACAGAATAATATATATAAACATTATATTCAAAAAGTTCCGGGACAAATAATTTTTCAATATCTATATATACCGTTATCTATAATCCACTGATGACATTACATTGTATAATATGCATCGATAAGGACTGTAAAAGTCCAATAACGATAAATTGGTTCAGTAATCACCTGCACTGATTTGAAATGTACGATATGTCACGACTTTTACAATGAGTCAAAGAGCTGTGATTGCATTTTGTTTGTTTTTAATTATATAAATGTGCTAACCCAAAACATTTCAAATAACGAAAACTGCGTATGGTGATGTTTAAGTCTTAGCAAGATTTTTGAATGGTTATTGTGGTTTAAAAACGGTCGTGAGTTAGTGATGGAGGATCCATAGAAGAGCGTCTTCCGTCTTCCAATTGTGATATAAATAAGAAACGATATTTAGTCGTATGGAAAACAAAACGCTTGCGCCACCACTATCACGTGATTGCCGGATGATATCAATTGAAATCACCGCGGTCCAAGGGTCGTATCCGCGACACGCGGGTTCAGATATTTCGCGAGCGTGCCAAAAGGTCATAGAGGTGGTGCGGGGGGGGGGGGGTGAAGAGGATAACATTTAAGACTCGCGACCATTTACTCGGCGTTGCTCCGGACACGGTAGCTGGACCCCGTGTTCTTGACAGGGTTTTCCTGCGAACAGCACGCGTCCCGTCCGCTTGTCGCACGAGCATCCGTCGGTTTACCGCACGCGCCGAATGAACCGTTCATTCATCGTCTCCCGCAGTCGTGCGCGCGCCAAATCCCGTTGGACCCGTTGCGAGCGATTCCGTCATCGGAGCGCACGATACGTTTTGAAGTACTCCCGATTTCGGCGCGCTGCGCCCGTACCCCGAACAACAAGTCGTCAAACAATTATTACGCATTCGCTCGAGACCTAAGATCAGTTCGTGGTTCAGTTGCGTAAACAACAGAAGGTATTTCAACTTTGCCGGCGCGCGTGAGCACACCGTGATGTGGTGTTTTCTCAACTTAAATATCTCCGTTCCGTTGTTACACGCGATGTCGACGTTTTGAAATTCGTTAACGAGAACTGCGCGTAAAGTACACAATCATAACTAGGGCCCGGATTTAAATATACTTAAAATCATACAAATATGCTCTAAAAAATAGCCAAAAATGTATTTCACCACAAAAATAACCTTAAAAATGACATAATTTTTTTTATTTTGGGCATTATTTAATACATTAAAATCACATTCATACGTAATCCAAGCAACGTCTGCGATGTAATAAGAACTGATTGATTATTTGTTATTCGACCGAATATTGGTAACGTTCCATAGTCTATAATAAATTAAAATAAGATAATAACTGAATTGAAAAATAAAGATTGACAAAATGTGTATGGAAAAACCCGATAAACTTGCTTAAATATCAAAAAAATAATTTGTCTTTTGATTTTATTTTGAATAGACTAAATTTGTTAAGTATGTCGAACAAATATGCATTAAAAACCAACAAAATGACTCATTAATACTAAAAATGCTCTATTAATGAAAAAACCTCGAAATATGCAACAAATTGCAAAATAAAATTTGTAGTTTTGAAACCCTCTTTACATGAAACGAATTATGTTTTTAGAGAGCATTGTGTATGATCAACAAAAAAATAAGCACTTTGCATTGAAATCCGGGCCCTTATCATAACGTTTCAAAAACGGTTTATTATTTTATGTTTCCATAAAATATCGCAGATACGCAACGGCTTCGTTGTTGGCTACTCATATTTTCACGTATACCTTGGCACGTGGTAGTGGGGAAAGAATGGTCTACGGATATCATTTTTTTTTTTTTTGCCCGCAATCGTATAGCATTTATTATTTTACTAAAAACCTATATTTTATAAGCACATATATTGCATTTAGTTGTTTTATCTATAACGATTGCTTGCTATTTGTTAATAACTGTCCCATATGTTAAAACTTAATTGCACTATAGTTCTTTCTAAAAAAAAGTTTTTTATTTCATCTACTTGTAATTTTGAAATTTCAATATCCTCATAGTGTATAAAAAATCTTGGGTCTAATTATTGTTGCTCAATAGATGAATTATATTGTTATACGTATATTCCTTATTCTATGTACCTATAACAATCCGTGTTAACAATGATGATTGATTATTATTATGATGGAAGATAATTAATTATATAAGTACAACAAAGAACAAGTTTATATACTTAATATAATTTTGTTTCGTTACTTTAATTAGGATTAAGAATAAAAAAGAAATTGAATAATGATGCATTTTAATATTATTTTAAAAATACTCGATGTGTGTATTCTCTCGTAGACTTTACTTATGTTATTATTAATTATTTGTTCATAACTTAATCCTTATCGTTTTATTTAGAATCTTAAACCATTGTTAATTATTTTGTTGTACTAAAGTATTTCACGGTGACGTAAAAACAACCACCTAGACATCAATAAAATTGTGATAGTATATTGAATACTAATAATACTAATAATTGCCGTTGGATTAATTTTTATTTCTCTACACAATAAGTCGCATTTATTTTAGTTAATGTGTCATTAAGCAAATTGACGACAACGATAGAGGTTTGGTTTTTAGATTTTCAAACGAAATGTGTCCACTATCCAAACGAGACGTCTGCACGTGAATAATAAGTGTCATTATTGGCTGATTCCGATTAATGTTACATTGTAAATATCCCAGCGTCTACGCCGCGCTTATAACGTTCATTGTTGTTTGTATTTTATGTACAAATCGGTATAAAATTAATTGTCTCCACACGGAGTGAAATGATTATGTCCGTTAAAACGTTGTACGTATATGACTTGGTACTATAAAATATTGTGTTTCTGTACGGAACGAATGAAAAAAAAAAAAAAAATGGAAATGTTTCGATGAATTTCAAAAACATACATGCACCCCTAACGATCATCAATGAACATCCGCTTGTTATGTCGCTGAGGAACAAAAACCAATCGTTGAAGTAATACCTACCTAATATTATATACTAACGGTATATAGATAGATAGATGTGTGGTCGATAAAGAGCGGCGGCGGCGGATAGCACGTGTGATGCGTTGTAGTCTGATGTGTCGTCGACGGGCAGCAGCAACAGGTAGTAACAACCAAGGTTTTCGGTGGTCTTCTTGTAGTCGTGTACACGCGCGTCTTCCATCCGCCATGTTGCCAGTCCCGCGCGCGTGTGTATATATGTGTACGTATATATATATATATATGTATATAATAATAATAATATCGTATTGTATTATGCGGTCACATCGTACACTCCTCGTGCGTATGCTAGCCAACGCACACGGGTTCAATTCAATCCGGTCGCTTATTGCACGACGACGTCACCGTGTTTTCAACAACACAACAATACTACATAATATTATAAAGATGCACTGTGTGTGTGTGTGTGTGTGTGTGTGCCCGCGCGTAAGTGAATGTAGCCTCTGATTTTCTATTTTTTAATTTCTTGTTTTTATACACTATTAATGACTATAAAACTGCATTATGTATGTGCGTGTGTACTACTCGATGACGGTTCATCAACACGGTGCAATAACTAATAACGGTACAAAAAAAAAAAAAGCAAGCTATCATATGTAATGATTATAGTGTTTGGGCGCATTGTTTGGACTCGAGTGAATTGAATTGCGACCGGGCCATGATTCTTTGTCTTTGCATTCGTCTGTATCCGTGTATATATGTATATATATTATGTACACAGAGATAGATATATTAGCAGCGCAACTCGTTTTTATTTCATTATGTTAAGCCACCGCGCTGCCGCCACCGTCGCCGTCGCCTTGATGATATCATGGACTGTGCAGTCGCCTAGCTATCTGTTGGCGAATTAATGACCGCTTAATGGAATACTTCCTGCTCGGGCCTGGACCGGATGAGTTCATCATGTTGCCGGGAGTAAGCACACGAAGGGATCGCGCGCGATACAATTGAATTTTCTTCCTATTTCGTTTTATGTAATTTTTTTTTTTCATTTTCATTAAGAGCTCGTGCTCGCATCAAAACGCCCAATAAATTCTCTGTGTATAATCCTGCGTTTACGGTGTATGTAGGTCAAAAAGCGTCGATTGTCATATTTATGACCTATACATACCACAATATGCAGAGATACCCTGGGATTAAGTTTCTCACGTTATTCTTAACCCTTTCTTAATACATACTCACATACACTCAAGCGTACCAAATTCGTTCCAGTACAACCCATCGTAAATTCTTAGCTCTCTTAAAATATATTTTCACGCGTTCGTAGCTTGACGTTTTATGACCCTTTTCTCTTACCTGTTGAACCTAAGTTTGTGTTCATTTGAAAAAAAAAGAAGAACATTGGTCAAACAGGAATTTTTAAAAACCGTATAGGTATTGTGTTTGTGTATTTCTTAATATTTATACTTAAAATAATAATGAAGGTGTTATTTGACCACAGATAGGTGTGTCTTGGAATGTCTTCGTTTTTTAACGCTGAACAAGCAAAACGCAATATACTCATTTAGAGAGTTATGCTAATTCGTAATATATATTTATATTATTAGTACTATACATTTATACATATATTATTATAGTTGTTTAAATAAAAAAAATAAAAAAATCACTAACAATGTATAATATTTATTTTAATTATTTGTAGGGTCCACCGGGATCGTGTCATGCTCGCCTAATCCATGTCTCCATGGAGGTTCTTGCTACATGAAAAAGACCGGAGAATACGCTTGCAAGTGAGTACAAAATAGACAATAATTAGTTTTTAAACGTTGAGTCCTCATTGTTATGTGTGTTTACTCAATGTCCGTGCACGAATGCGAGATTGGTCAATTTTACCTGAAGTATACGAAAATCGTTTCACGGTTGATTATCAATTGTAAAAACAATACAAATTAGAGGGAAAAAAAGTCGTTGACCGAACGTGTTTTTGAAATAAAAAAAACCTACTTGTAGTGATGAACAATAAAAAATGTACATAAATCTTAAACCATTTAAATGTATGGGCATAGTTTGAATAAATAAATTCTGATATTAAATTGCTTTGTTACAGTTGACATTTTAAAATTTGATTTAAAATAACATTGATTTAATAACATGTCTTTAAATTAATATTTATTGACCAAATAACTGACTGATACATTTTATGCTTACACATGTAAATATAACATATTTTATGTTTTTAAAACGTCATCTGATAATTGTAAATTGTTTACTGTCGTAGTACTGTTAAAATGTGAATATAGTTTTTCAAACGTATTTCATGTAATAATGCTGCTGTAAGTATTTTTATTCGATTTTTCAAATTAATGATTTGTGTATTCATAACACTCCTGATAATTATTATTAATATTTTTTGGATAAAACAACGCACACTAGTTCAATCGTATAAACTCTAACGTATTAAGTTAAAATAATACGTCTTATCTTATTTTAGTAGTTAATAAATAACAATTTTATTATTTATTTTTCAGTCTGTCATTAATTCAAACAATTATTATGTAATGTCTCAAGTCTGATGATTCGGTTAAGTTAATATTTAATTTCAACTGTTTATTGTTTAACTATTAATGAAGAACTCTAACTATACATAGCTTACTGTAAAATTGTTTTCAAATAGATTTGTGATTTCCGAAAGAAATAATATCTAGTTTGTATAATTCGATATTATCCATTCAAAACGATTCAAAATACCATGTTAAAAGATTTCATTAATTTTCGTAAGACCGAATAAATCGAATGATAATAATATTATTCTCTATGTAATCATTTCATTTTAAGAATGCAACGGTTATTGCATTCGTAATAATATTCTTATGCGAGACCAATGCGTGTAGTAGTAGTCCGTAAGTAAGTTTTACGTTATAGAACAAGTTAATTTTAATCATTACTGAAATATTTTAGTAGTCTATATGTATGATTAGTGAACATAATTTGTGTAGTATATATTACAATTTGAGCGTACCAATATAAATTTGAATTTATATTTTTTTTTTTAAAAAAATGCGATTACGTCTTTGTCTATTGTGCCGGTATTTTCATTTTATTATTTGGGTTCGAATCAGAAATTAAAAAAAAAATGAATTCGTTTTGTAGATCATTTACTTTTCTTTTGGATAATGATTATCAACATCCTATACCTATGTACACACAACGTATAATAATACCGTGTACCGTGTCCAAAGTCCTACCAAGATCGGTAAATCATCTCGGCAACGGCGGCGGCGTGGGCGAGCAACCTTGAATATTTTTGGTCGTAAAACGTGATGATCAGTAATCATCTACGGAAGAGATCGTTGACCAAAGATAATACAATTTGTCACGGGCGTCGCTAAGTAAAATACACATAACGCTCTTGTTTACATTGCCGGCCTGTGGCTTAGGATAAAAAGAAATACCGGGTGGAAATTTTAATCGATTATCGATTATTGATTATGTGTGTATATGCGCGCGCGCGTTTGGATCATTTGAAGTTAATCGAATATTTTATAACCCTTTTACAACTTGGTCGCCATGGGAAAAATAATAATTTTCTTATACCTGATGATTGGAAAAATAAATAACTTACCGTCGGTGGGACTCGAACAACAAATATATGGTGTTAAATGTAGAATATACTTACAATGTTCACAAATGTTATCAATATTTTATCGAATATTACCAATGGGAAACAAAATGACGTCATGTGATAAATATCGAGCCCGACCAGAGGCGACTTCAGGAGTTTTATGATTGGCATTCTTTCGTGGGAGATGGAAATTACATTATGCACGGTGTATTGTGGGAGCTAATAGGTAACTCTAACAAAAAAGAAAGAAAGAAAAAAACGTCACATTTTTACTACTAATAACAGCGCCAACAACAACACGATTTACATTTTGGGATGCGTAGTGTGTGCGAGTCAAATCGGTAATGACAAAAACTCATATGCATATAGCCACCATGGTAAATTTTATTAAAAATATTCTCTCACAAGATAGTAATAATAATAATAATAATAATAATAATAATTCGTATAGGCTTTTCTACGTTCTTCAAGTTGGTGTGTGTTATTGTCCTCGAAATCAATCTGGTGTAATCCGAACAGTGGCGTCTTACAACATATAGGGTCGGGCCTTAATTGCAGCCCGTGCCTTTTGTTGGCTCGTTAACGACTAGTATTGAAACGACTACACGTAAACGCATAATGTCATATAGTGTTCTGAAAATCATAATAAATGTCTGTCTTCTAATTTTTCGGCTATGTTTTATACCTTTTTTTTTTAATTGCTGGCAAATATTATAAGTAATAATAAGATAAAAAGAAAATAGCAACGATTGGATATATTATGTTATTATTATTATTATTATTATTTTTTTAATTTTGCTGCGGGGCTTTTCATGAAGAGAAAGGGCACGGTCCGTGCGGTTCCCACGGAGAGCAGTCGGCCATAGTACCTGGTCAGGTGAACAGCAGCAACTATACGCGCGCGCGCCGCGCAGCCTTCCGGGGACTCTTCAGGAATGACTGTACACGCGGCGGCGTTGCCATTCGTATTGTTTCATATGCAATCTCGAATAATTAAGATTGAAAAAAAATCAGTGACATTTTGCTGATATCTGTCCACTCGTTTTGGTGCAATAAAACGTTACTACTACGCGCTTAAAGCGGTTTTTGGATATTAAAAAAATACATTTAAATTTTTCGATATAAAACTGGTTTTTACTCAAATCGATTACATGAATATATAAAGATAAACGACTGCACCAACAAGTCAACAGATTATTAATGTTTACTTTTCGTAATGCTCAGTTATATTTAAAAATATAATATGTGTTCGTCCTTAATTAGGAGATAAATAATAATATATTCGGTGATTGAATGGAATTTCAAATTACAGTTAAAACTAAAATTCGAAAGTTTTTTTTTTTAATTGATCCCAGCATTTTGTAACGGATAATACACGCCAACTCATTGGGCCTTCGGATATCGGTTAGCATTCGGTATGAAAATATAAAGGGGCAACTATAATATAGATTCCACGCGCTTGCGCGTACACAGAAATATATGCGAGGGTTTTGGAACAATTGAGTTCTCTGATCCGTACCATTGTTCCCCTCCCATAAACTCCCTAGGGCTAATTCAACGATAAAAAATAATAATAATAATAATCACCGCCCTCGTCTACCATAAACACCATTTGGCACTCAAACCCTATGGAAAAAACCAGTTTTTTTACGCATTTTCTACGAGAGCAATCATAAAAAAAGTTATTAATTACAATTATAAGTTTGTGCTAGGTAATAGTTCATATATTATAAGTATAGTATAGGTTATGTTACAGTTTATATGTATGTGGATTACTATTGCTTGCTCGCAGAATTGGTCGCGATTCCCGCGCGATTAGGTGGAGGCTAACTTTAAGGAAAAAAAACCTGTATCTCTGCGCGAGTTGCGTGTTGTTACAGTACATCGTACATTGCGGTGGTATTATTGAGCCCCATACATACATAATGACTCATGTAATTATAGTTATGTACTGGCGAATCCTCACGTTCACAACATGGCAACCGGACGGCTAGACGGAAGCAGGCTGTGTATTTTTCAAGAACTGACGAAAGAACATTAGATTTCTACATTTTGAAATATATTAACATTCATAATTAATGTTACTGTTTAATTAGATAATAATATACGTGTGCGTGTGCGTGGTGTGTGTGTGTGTGTGTGTGTGTGTGTGAGTGTAAGAGGCGTTGTTTTTTGGACAATAAGAATGACTGGTTTTTATTGTTATAATTAATTTATTCTTTTACTTCACTATTTCACATATTCGGGACTCGTAGTATTTTGATATTTTATTTTATAACGCAACAATAATCGTTGTTCGTATAATATGCAACCACCGAAGAGACTTCATGCGAGTGCGTGCGTGTACGTGTAATATTAATTTATTGTCACATACAACATAAACGAGATTTTCGGCATTTGCCCCCACCCCCACCCACGAAAGGGTGTACGGTTTAACGTGGCGGACGCCCTCGAATGCAAACCATCTGGTCACGGTTAACCGAGTATATATACGTTTGAGAGTAATTAAGCCGGGTATTGTGTTGCAGTACATCATGAGGTGACATATTCTAAAACGCAAGTACATATTTTTTAATAAATATTCAAACTGTGTCGGTTGTATGATACGGTGTAGAGTATGCATTATTGAAATAAGAATGTTTCGGGCTGGCGTATAGGAGTGATACTGTATAAACGTTGGTAGAACAAAAACCATTACGAAGAGATTCCGGCGGCCCCCTATAATTTCGGAAGGTAGTCCATTTCGCCAGAAGAATTATGATTGTATATGTATTCGTTAGAGGTCCTGTCATCCTGGCACCGCCTACTCCTACTCCGGGTCCGAAGCACAACGTGCCACTTAAAAGAAGCTTGGTAGGAGGAGCCGATAACCAAGAAGAAGTAGAAGGAAAAAATAGAAACCACTTAAGAGCGGTCGTAGCTTCGGGCGAAAATCGAGCCGACCCGGCAATTTGGTCGGTGCTGCGTGGCCATTACCCGTGCGGAGTGGTCCGTATGCGTCTTTTTATGTGGTTGTCCGTACTCATCCCCGTTGTATTTGTCTGGTAAAATCACTGAGACGTGACATTACGGATAACTTTTGTTTGTCTTCGTAATAGCTGAGGATTTAACACACGGACTACTAAAGGTACCAAAATCTTTTAACTTTCCAAAACCTGTAAGTGCATA